AGGAGAGATAATTTAAAAATTATTGGGCTATCTGAAAACTATGATCAAAAAAAGAGCCTAGACATCATCTTTCAAGAGATTATCAAAGAAAACTGCCCTGATATTCCAGAACCAGAGGGTAAAATAGAAAGTGAAAGAATCCACCAATCACCTCCTGAAAGAGATCCCAAAAGGAAAACCCCCAGGAATATTACAGCCTAATTCCAGAGTTCTCAGGTCAAGGAGAAAATATTGCAAGAAGCTAGAAAGAAACAATTCAAGTATTGTGGAAATACAATCAGAATAACACAAGATTTGACAGCTTCTACATTAAGGGATAGGAGGGATTGGAAAATGATATTGCAGACATCACAAGAGCTAGGACTAAAACCAAGAATCCCCTATCCAGTAAAACTGAGTATAATCAATAAGGGGGGGGGGGCGGGATTGACATTCAATGATGTAGGGGAATTTAATGCATTCTTGAGAAAAAGTGAGAGCTAAATAGAAAAATTGACTTTCAAATTCAAGACTCAAAGAAGCATGAAAAGGTAAACAGGAAAAAGAAATCATAAGGAACTTATTAAAGTTGAACTGTTTGCATTCCTACATGGAAAGATGATATTTGTAACTCATGAGACCTCTCTCAGTATTAGGGTAGTTGGAGGGAATATACAGATGTGTGTGTGTGTGTGTGTGTGTGTGTGTGTGTGTGTGTTCAGAGGGCACAGGGTGAGTTGAATATGAAGGAATGATATCTAAAAAATAAAATTAAAGGATGAGAAAGGAATATACTAGGAGAGGAGAAGGAAGAGGTAGAATGGGGTAAATTATCTCACATAAAAAAGGTGAGAAAAAGCTTTTACCGTAGAGGGGGAGAAGGGGGAAGTGAGAGGGAATGAGTGAACCTTACTCTCATCAGATTTGGCTTAAGGAGGGAATAACATACACACTCAATTGGGAATGGAAATCTGTCTTACCCTACAAGAAAATAGGGGGCAAGGGGATAAGAGAGTGAGGGGATGATAGAAGGGAGGGCAGATTGGGGGAGGGGATAATCATAAACACTTTTGAGGAGGGACAGGGTCAAAGGAGAGAAAAGAATAAAGGGGGGGATAGGATGAAGGGAAATATAGTTAGTTTTTCACAGCATGACTACTATGGAAGTGTTTTGCATGACTACACATGTATAACCTATATTGAATTGTTTGCCTTCTCAGTGAGGAGGGAGGAAGGGAGAGAATTTGCAGCTCAGAGTTTTAAAAATGAATGTTAAAAATTGTTTTCACAGGCAGCTGGGAAATAAGATACACAGGCAATGGGGTATAGAAATCTATCTTACCCTTCAGGAGAATATAAGGGGAAGGGGATAAGACTAATCTCTCTACCTGCCAAAAGATTGCCCCCTCTGTCATCCCCACTGTCACTGACTTTCTATCTTTCTCTCTACTGGTTCATTTCCTACTGCCTAGTCACACTTCTATGTCTCCCCTATCCTGAAAAAACCTTCACTTGACCCTTCCATCCCAATAACCCTCATCCTATATCTCTTCTGCCCTTTGTAGGTGACTCCTAGAAGGCCTATAAGAGGTGCCTCCACTTTCTCTTCTCTCACTCTCTTCTTAACCCCTTATGACCTGGCTGTGGACCTCATCATTCCACCAAAATGGCTCTTTTCAAAGGTACTGGTGATCTCTCCGTTGCCAAATCCAATGACCTTTTCTCAGTCCTCATTCTCCTTGACCTCTCTGCAGCCTTTGACACTGTTGGTCCCTCTCTCCTCCCTGACAGTCTCTTCTCTCTAGGTTTTTGGGACGCCTTCTCTCCTGGTTTCCTCCTACCTATCTGACCACTCCTCTGTCTGCTTTGCTGGACCCACTTCCAGACTACTCCCTCTAGTGTAGGTGTCTCTCAGGGTTTTGTTCTGGGTCCTCTTCTCCTTCCTGTTCAGTTGATGATCTCGTCAGCTCCATGGATTTAATTACCATCTCTGCTGCTGATGTTCAGATCTGCCTCTCCTGCCCCAGACTATCTGCTGACCTCCAATCTCACATCTCCAACTGCCTTTCAAACATCTCAAACTGGTTGTCTTGTAGACATCTTAAGCTCAACATGTCCAAAACAGAACTAATGATTGTTCTCCCTAATACCCCTGCCCCTCCCCCTTTCCCATTGCTGTGGAGGGCAACACCATCCTTCCACCCCTCAAGACTCCCACCCTTGGAGTCATCCTGCACTCCTTACCATCTGTCACCTCCTACGTCCAGGCTGTTTCCAAAGCCTGTCAATTTAACTCTGCAGCATCTCTCAAATATGCCCCCTTTTCTCCTCTGACACTGCCCTACCCTAGTGAAGATCCTTATCACCTCATACCAGGGCTATGGCAATAGCTGCTGGGGAGTCTCCCTGCCTCCTCTCTTCCCCCCTCCAATCCCCCCTCCATTCAGCCACCAAAGTGATTTTCCTGAAACACAGCTTCAATCATGTTAACTCCCCTCTCTCCTCCACAATCAATAAACTCCAGTGGCTCCCTATTGCCTTCAGGATCAAATACAAAACACTGTTTGGCATTCAAAGCCCTTCATGACCTAGCCCCCTCCTACCTTTCCAGGCTTCTTACGCCTTACACTGCAATGGTACTCTTTGATCCAGGGACACTGTCCTGCTGACTGTTCCCAGAACAAGACACTCCATCTCTCTACCCTGGGCATTCTCTCTGGCTCTGCGCCCCTTGCCTGGAATTCTCTCTCTCCTCCTCTCTGCCTCCTGACCTCCCTGGCTTCCTTGAAGTCCCAACTAAAATCCCACCTTCGACAGAAAACCTTCCCCAACCTCTCTTCATCCTAGTGCCTTCCTTCTGTTATTTCCTATTTATCCTGTATGTAACTTGCCTTGCATATATTTGTTTGCTTCTTATCTCCCCTATTAGATTGTAAGCTCCTTGAGGCAGGGACTCTTTTACATCTTTTTTTTTTTCTGTAACTCTAGAGCTTAGCATAGTGCTTGGCTAATAGTAGGCACTTAATAAATAGGGCAGCTAGATGGTGCAGTGGATAGAGTGCTGGGCCTGGCATCAGGAAGACTCTTTGTATGGAGAAGGAGAGAGTTCCCTACTTTGGGACAGAGGTTACATTAATATTTTCTCCACCACCGAAGCCTAGAAATCAACAAAACAATCAATTTGAATATGTAGTGTTGGCCGATTCCTGAGGTGTGAATGTTCACATCTAAAATTTCACAACCAGCTCAGAGTCAGCTCCAGCCCACACCCTGGCTATATGTGTTGCTTCACCAGCTGGTCTCAGGTGTCCGGGGGGCACTGTTGTTTTTAATTGCTCTCTTTATAGCTAAACGACAAAAGATTTCTCAGGGACCCCAATTCTTCCCACCAGGACAGGCAAGGCCAATTTGGCTCTTCTCTACCAAAGGACCTGCTTTGTAAAGGACTTTGGTTGTTGTGAAGTAGTAAATTCCAATGTGGAGGAATCCCCAACCCAGAGATCAAGGTAATGGGTAGGTCTCAAAGTCTGTAGTCTCTTCACATCTGTGAGCCTCAGGTTTCCCCTCTCTAAATGAGGAGTCCTATTTGTACTACCTATCTCAGAGGCGGGGCTACTGTAAGGAGACGACTTTCTAAACTCACAGAAATAGAAGGGTTTAATGTCATTTACACAGTTGATAATGAATTCATTGTCACTGCCAAGCCATAGTATGGGAGAGAGGAGACAGGGGAGGGAAATGTGGTCCGGCAACTTCCTTGAACATGCAGGGGGCTCACTATGAGTACTTCCTTCCCCGACGCTTGATTTTAGCCCTCTGACCCTTAGTATTGTTACATTAAAAATAACATGGGTGACTTCATTTTACCTTTGTCCACCATTTTGTGAAATCAAGTTTCAACTTCTTGCAAGTCATCTGATCATGGGAAGGTCACAACACTCCCTGCCTCCACCTCAAGTCTCCCAGTTCCCTCCACCAAAAAGAAACCAGATGTCTCAATCCCTACATCCTGTTGTTCCTGTTTTTTGCTCCCTCCAAAGTGCATATTAACTGTGTAGAAACCAGTGGTCAACATCCTTGACCACTGAGAGCCCTGGACCCAATTTGTTTCTGACGCCCCATGCATTGCTAAATAAGTTGTTGTCTGCATGCAACCACTCGGTTTCTTTATTCCACTGGCACAGTATGGAATCGATCAATCAACGTTTGTTAAACACCCATGTGCTATGAACTATGTTGAGTCCTGGAAGGGGCATTTGAAACCACCGAGTCCAAATTCTCCATTTTATAGATACTGACACTGAGGCCTTGAAATGGGAAGGGATTTGCCTCTTGATGGAGTTGATGAAGTAACATTTGCTTGAGCTCTGCCAATCTTGTCAGAGGCACTAACCAGGTCATAGATTGAACTTGTGGCAGGCTTGGTTAGAAGCCAGGCCTCCTGACTCCCAGTCCTGAGAAGTGGCTGGGTGTCCTTGACCAAGGGCATTGGCTTGCAGGTAAGTGGGGAGTAACTTCCAGGCATTAGGGGTGATCTGCCAGTATGAAGAGAGGCAGGAAAGTTTGGTTAGAAAAGAAGGCAGATGGCAGCCCCCTGGTGGGGGTCCGGGTTTGGATTCAATTCCACAGCCCAGTATTGGTAACATGCTCAGACACCTGACCGCTGTAAGATGAGGATGGTCACTTTACCTGCCTCCCGGTTGGGTTTGTTGTGACATCAGCAAAGACAACATGCTTCACAAATGTTGGTGGGTAATACGGGGAAGCTGCTGTTATTATTAACTTCATTTACACATGGGGTGACTGCGGGGGAGGGGGAGGACCTCCCCCTCAGTCACACAACTAATGAGGGGCCGGGCTCTCTCCCCACTCCAAAGATCTTTGTAGGTCCCTGTTTGTTTCCCCCCACAGTGTTTGAATCTCTCCCACTCACTTACAAGAAGTGTATTGAGATCCTAAGTCTGCCTTGTAAATCTGGTAAACTCCCTGAGGGCAAGGAGGGGGTTAGCTTTTGTACTTACCCCAGCACGGGGCACAGAGGACTACCTCTCTGCGTGGTGGCTTCACTGGAGGGGGTGGCCGCCTTCTGTTTCCTGGTCCTCCCATAGCGCCGGGCTCCCAGCTGGAACTTTAACCCGACCCCTAAATATTCACAACAAACACCTTCCCCGGCCTACCAAGAGTCAGCTCCGGGAACCAAGGCTCGAACCTCTTCCGAAGCCTGGAGCGAAGTAGGGCCTCAGCTTCCTGCAGTTTCCTCCTCCTTCTTCCACCATAAAAATTGCTTTCTTTTTCCTGTTGGGAGAGTGGGGTGCGTGGGCCAAGAGCTCTCTCTCTTCTGGAGGCAAACTCAAAGAAGGGTGGGCGGGTTGCAGATGGCTAGAGGAGAGGAGAACACGCATTTCTTAATGTGCGTGCCCAGCACTGTGCTAAGCACTTTACGATTATTATTATTATCTCCTCTGGTTCTCACAACAGCCTTGGCAGGGAACGAAAGGCTGTTATTACCCCCATTTTACAGTTGGGGAAACTGAGGCAGATAGCGGTGAAGTGATTTGCCCAGGGTCACACAGCTAAGAAGTATCTGAAGCTGAATTTGAACTCGGGTTTCCTTGAGTCCTGGCCCAGCGCTCTACCCACTTCTCTCGGGACCGGGACCGGCGCCCCCCTCTCCTCCTCTCCGAGCTCGGCGTCCAGGAGAACCGTGGCCATGGGAAGCCGCTTGTGTGCCTTGACACTTCTTGGGGAGCCAGGGCACAGGGGCTGGCGGGGCCCGTGTCTCCTGGGCCTCTCTCTTGTGATCCCGCTTGGACTTCTTCCTGGGGGGCTGTGGCAGTCCGGGAGGGAGACCGCTGCCAATGGAGCTCCCGCCCCTAGGGCAGCAGCTTGCGCCCGAGACCCAGGCCGGTCCAGCGGGGGTCGGAGGACGTTGCGGGAGGCGCGGTGGGGACGGGTCCCCCAGGTGCACCTGTAGGGCCCCCTCCCCGTCAGACTCCTAGCACAGAGACGGGAAATGGTCGTCCTCAGGGCCCCGAGCTGGCGGAGGGGGCACCGGCAGCAGCACTAGCTGAAGGCGGGGCAGGCCAGGGTGCTCGGCCCCCAGCTCCCCGGATTAGAGCCACGGGGCAAAGCGCAGCTCCTCTGGCTGCAGTCTCCTCCTTCCTCGATTCCAGAGTCCAGAGGTGGGGCAGCTGGAGGGAAGGGAGCCCAGTAGTAACCACCTCCAGGGACAGCTTGCCCTCCCCAGAAGCCTCTGCCTCAGCCGCCACCACGAAGAAGCGTCGGCGTGGGGGCCCACTCTCCATCTGGGTTGAGTCGACTTGGGGTGGGGAGTCAGGCCCTGTTGGAAGTGGGGGCTCTCCCCACCGGGGAAATCCTGGCCCAGACTGTTATCATCACTAACACCTACCAGAGTCTCAGAGAGTTTCCTGATACTGTGCCGACGGCCTTCCTCCTCCTCCTCCTCCTCCTCTTCCTCTTTGCTAGGGGATGGAATACCCCCAGAGGAGCTAAGGTTGGGGCTCATGGGCTCAACGGGGTGTAGGCAGTGGGCAATAGGACTCATCCACACACACATATATGTACATATGTATATATGTGTGTATGTGTACATATGTATATGTATGTACGTATTTACATGTGTACATATATGTGGTGGTGAAAGGGGTCATAGAGGGTAAGGTATGGAAGGTAGGATCCTAAGAGGCCCGTATCAGGATCAAATATTAAATACTCTGTTTGGTTTTTAACCCCTCCATAATCTGACTCCTTCCTACCTTTCTAGACTCTTTACACCCTACTCCCCTCCACGTATTTTGCAATCCCTTGACCCAGGCCTCCCTGGCTGTTCTCACGAGATACTTCACCTCCCAACGGCAGGCATTTTCCCTGACTGTGTCCCATGCCTGGAATACTCTTTGTCCTTGTTTCTGCTTCCTGCCATCCCTGGCTTCCTTCAAGACCCAACTAAAGCCTTACCTTCTGCTAGCTGTTTAGTTAATTAATTGACCATCTAGGTACTCCAGGTGCTAGGTGGAGTCTTAGGATCATCAGGTGAAGAAATCCTGCCCAGAGGATGTTTGAAATGTCAGGTGTGGCTAATAATAAGGGGTGGCTCAAAAAGAATGGGCAGGATGAGTCCTTGCATCTTTGACCAAAGCTCAGAAAGGGAAAGGTCAGGGTGTCAGAGGGACCTTGGTGAAACAATGCAGCATAGGAGAAAGACCACTGGACTTGGAGACAGAGTAGCTTTGACCTTGGCTTGCTGTGTGACCATCAGCAAGTGACTTCACTTCCCTAAGACTCAGTTTCTATCTCTGTCTCTGTCTCTGTGTCTCTGTCCCTCTCCCTCTCTCTCTCTCCCCCTTTCTGTAATGTAGATGTAGTGTAATATATCTAATGTTAATATATATTATATAATAATATATATAATATATATAGAGAGAGCTGAGTCAAATTAGTTCCATTTTACTGATGTGTATATACACATATATGTGTTCTTGTGTAATAAATACTTATCTTCCCCTTGGAATGTAAGTTCTTTGAGAATAGAGATTGTTTCGTTCTTTGTACTTATATTCTCAGTGCCTGGAACAGTGCAAGGCTCATAGTAGGTGCTTAATAAATGTTTGTTGATTGATCGATTGGCTGACCAAATCAACATCCTGGGCCCAGACTGTCTTTCATTACACGTGGAGCTGTTGCAGATATGACATTGACCCATCGCGATTTAAGAACAGGTTCTAACTGAATGCCGCCCTGATCAGTCCTCATAATCTCCACACCGTATAGAATGAGGTACTTTCCCAAGACAGAGGGCTCTACTGGGAGGAATAGAACTGTGTGGGGCTTGCTTAGGGTCCTTCTCCTCCCCATTGTTCTGTCTGCTACTGGTGTGGTCCAAGGTGCTTTCCCTGAGTCTAGAGAGGATGAGCTCACATCCCTTTACTCTTACTCTGTTACGAGAAGCAGCCGTTTCTCCACCTCGGTCACGAGCCTTAGAACATTAATCATCAAATAATAAGCAACAGAGGACATTTCCAAGGACCATTTCTAGGGGAACCCATCAGAGAAAGAGAAAAATGAGGTGGCAATGAGAAGAGGGCTGGGAGCTAGGCCTATGTTGTCATTGATAGAGGGCACTCCCAGATAAAGAAATTCCCTCTGTCAATGCAGGTTGACCTCTTCATTTGCAACCTAGAGCCTCAGATAATTGCTTAGAGTATGGGGCAGTGAGTGGACTGTTCCAGGGTCACTCAGCCAGGCGGTGTCAGAAGTGGGACTCAACTCAGGTCTTCTTGGCTCTAAGGCCAGCTGCTTCACCAGTGAAAATCCTAGTACCGGATTCTCTGGTGGTTCACCACAAACAGCAGCCTTTTGGGTGGTTACTATTACGTCCATTTTTGATAGGAGTGAACTGAAGCCCAGAGAGGGGAAATAGCCTCCCCGGGATCATGACGGTAGTGAGTGGTTGAGCCGGTGTCATCCTCGGGATCCAGATGCTGGTCCGATCAAAGCTGGAAGGAGCCTTAGAAGTCACCTTGCCTTTCTTGTGTGTGTCGCAGACTCCTGAGGCAGGGAGTCCCGTGGAGCCCAGGGACCCCTTCTCAAATAAGGGCTTTAAAAGCATGAAGTTAAATATATGAGATAATGAAGAAAACCAATTATATTGAAATAGCATTATTAAAATACCAAAAACAAATTCACGGACCTCCTAAAATCTATCCACCTTGGACCCCGGTTGAGAACCTCAGCTCTCATCCAACCTGGATTCAGACAAACATCCCGAATGAGTAATTTTCCATCCTTTGATGACGAGCTGAGGCTGCCCTTCCTACTCTGAGGCTTCTCCAACTGGCAAGAAGTTTTTTACTTGCTTTGAGACGACGTTTTTTCTTTGCTCCTAGTTCCATTCTCTGGGGTAAGTGTGATTCATCTTCCCCAAGACAGCCCTTCAAATCCTAGAAGCCACCTCTAATTCCCATCCCACCTTGAGCTCCATTCCAGGGCCCTCCCAGTGATAAACACTACCCTTCATCACCATTTGGCTTCCTCTGGTTCATAGGACTAAAGTCGTTCAGTGACATGCTTCCTGTCTCCCAAGCTTGGGCCCTGCTGGGTTGCTTCATTCCGTCAGCTGTGGTCCATTTTCCAGCCCACACTTGTCCAAACACAGAAATCTAGTTGAGTGTAGGCATAATGGAATCCATTTACAGGGCAAGGAGAGGTGGGTGGCATGATGTAAAAAGAAGGGCAATGGGCTTATTAGATGTGGCACCCTGGGCAAGTCACTTCCCCATCTGTGCCTCAGTTTCTTCATCTGTAAAATGGGGGTGATAATCCTTTCTCAACCTCATGGGGTAGCACAGCAAACGCTTTGTAAATTAATCGACCCACAACCAATTGTTAAGCATCGTCTATGTGCTAGGTACCATAAAGATCTAATTCCAAACCAATCAGAGCATAAAGGAGATTGATCATAAAAGACAAGCTAGATGCTTTTGTTTAAATAAAATGAAAAACTCTATGAGATCATAAGCCACAGAGACGCTCTGATTGACAATATCAGAGAAAGTTCCTCATGGGCACTCTCTTCACAGATGAAATTACACGGACAGTTAAAAAAAAGTTGAGAGAATGAAGAGAATATGAAGAGATTATAAAATGGGAAAATATTTGTACCAATGAAAAGCCTCCCTCAGGATGCCTATCAATTGAGGAATGGCTGAACAGGTTGTGGTATATAAATGCAATGGAATACTGTTGTGCTCTAAGAAATGATGAGCAGGCCGACTTCAGAAAAACCTGGAAAGACTCGTATGGACTGATGCTGAGTGAAATGAGCAGAACCAGGAGAACATTGTACACAGTAACAGCCACGTTGCACAATGACTGACTTTGATAGACGTAGCTCTTCTCAGCAATGCAACGATCTAAGACATCTCCAAAGGTCTCATGATGGAAAATGCTATCCACATCCAGCGAAAGAACTATGGAGTTTGAAGGCAGACTGAAGCATTCTATTTGCTCTTTTTTTTTCCCTCTGTTTTGTTTTGTTTCTTCTTTCTTGTGGTTCCTCCTATTGATTCTAATTCTTCTTTACAACATGACTAATGTGAAAATATGTTTAATAGGAATGGATATGTAGAGAGTATATCAGATTGCACACCATCTTGGGGAGAGAGACGAGAAGGAGGGGGATAAAGTATAAAACTCAAAAGCTTATGGAAGTGATTGTTGAAAACTAAAAATAAATTAATAAAAAGGCCTCCCCCAGAACAAAGAAAAACAGCAAAGAGAAAAACAACGACCATAACGATCATGTCTGATCATGTCTGGTGCCTCACTAGTCCTTCCCTTTTTGGCAGTGAGGAGCAAAGGAGGCCTGTTTCATTAAGTGTTCTCTGGGACTACCAGGGGCTTTGCAGTTACTCAGAATTCAGCTCTTTCTTGGTCAGA